ATATGTTATTTTCAGTAATTAATCTCTGTACGGGTTCAGTAAATTTGACCGATCTCGCAGCCACCATAAAAAATTAGGAAGAACATAAATTCTTCTTCTTTCATTCTAGAATGAACATTATAACACAAAAACATAAATGTTTAGATGAAATAGCTTAAATCTCATAACATTGACCTTTCACCCGTGCCTAGCTAACAATACAGAAGTTACAACGACGTAGCTCATGGGCATTCATGTTATCATATCAAATAACATAAAGGTGACCTTTGGTCTGTACAAAGTAACTTGTCTTGACTGTGTTTTATTTGACTAGTATTTTGTAAAATACAGTCACATTTTAATTATTATACATTATATATGTATATAGATTATTGCTGTTTTGAAATAAGTTCTTCGTTATTTTTCCTAAAACATAGAACAATAAATAAATAAATAAGTAAAGCAAACAATTATCTCGTCTAGTTACAAAATTTGTACTCTGTTGCTGCTTGACGTAGGTTGCTAAGCCTTAAAAAATTTTGCACATGGAGGATATGAAACAAAATATTTTTTTTAGATTTCATATATACTTTTGAATAACTAAAAAAATCATAAATTACTATATCTATACCATAGAATTCTACAATAATTTATCAAACTTAGTAACTAAGCTGTATTTGGGTCAAAAAAAAATTACATTTTGAGCAGACTAAAGACACAACCTACCTCACTGAAATCTTGGTTCAAAAGAAATAAATGGCATTAGATACGTTAGAAAGACTGAGAAAACCACTAGAAGGACATTCTGAGCTTCCAATTGGTTATTCATGTCATATATAGAAGTAAGTGAGCATTCCAAAAATGGAAAGAGGTGAGCGGGGTGCCACTGTGTTTGATTTATTACATGACCAATATCTTATCAAGTTAAGAAGACCTTCTTATTTTTTATTCTAGTTTGTCAATATCTGTAATTTGAGTTTATAATTTGTATGAAACTATAGACTTAGTATTTTGACTTCACAAACATCTAATCTGAACCAGTGCTGCATTCAACACACCACGTGACACACAAAAATTGATGTTTATCTGTGTTTTTTTAATATTTACTTTTAAACTAACAAATTGAGTAATGTATTGTTCTAAAATCTGAATTATAATCTGCAGTTTGATACCAAACTTATTGTCATAAATTAATGAAATAGTAGTTCAATAAAATTTTGAATGAGAGTCAACAAACGAGATGACATGGCTTTTCACCTGTGACCCATCTCGAAAGAGTTAAATATTACTATTTTAAGTTGTTTATACTACTGGTAATGGTTGCAGAATACTAAATTTGGTTACATAATCAATCAGTTATTATTTTCTACATAATTACTGCACAATAAAAGATTTTTTTGGTGCACGATTTAAATTATTAGCCACATAATATTAATTTTTTGTCATATATGTTTACATAAAATAAACAGTGACAGACTGTCAGTATGTAACTAACTCATGTTATTTAACCATTAACGTATTTACTTACTTTGAGGGTACGGGATACAAGGATACCTGCTAACACTACTGTCCAAATCACTAGAAAGCCCAGAGCCAGAGAAATGAAGGCAAGAGATCGCTGTGGATAATTTTCTTTTATTGCCATGATTCTACCCTAAATAAATGAAAGTTTTGTTAAAATACACAGTTAAACTCTAACAAGAAGCTTGCTACATGGCTAAGTAACCTGTATTACACATATACTATAATCATAGTATTACCATTACAAGCAGAATAAAAACAAAATATTTTTTTTCCCCACAAACTTTATTAAATGTGTTCAACATAAAAAAAAAAAAATGTTTTAAACTGTGAAAGCTAATAATAATAAATATCTAGATTTTTTTTATGTGGGCCAAAACTTCCAACAAATAACTGTACAGCAAATTTTATTTAAAGTTTTCAAGATCTGTAACATCCTCTAACACTTTACACATGAACCTTCGCCTCAACCTAATTACTATTTACAGCTTCTTTTGAATAAATTTGCTCAAAATACAGATTTGAGCTATATTTGAGGAAAGATGATATGTAGATAACTATGGATGTCACAATTCAATATTAAAATATGTTTAAAAAATGTACAATACCATATAACACTACAGAGAACAAAAAGTGGCAGATACCTGATAAGGCATACTGTTGAATGGAACTACATCACATCAGTCTCTGTTAAACTCAAATATACATAAAAAAAAACAGAAAAAAAACACAGGATGAAACCGGGATGAAATAAGACAATTTTTATTTTGAACTTTATTATTAATCAGTATACAGTTTCTAAGAAGTATAGCATGCATTAGGAAAATGTCTCACCTGCAATCTGAAAGGTATAAATTTGTGAAATCTGCTTTACCAGAACCACTGACAGAGAAAAAATTATTAGAATCTACCTAGTTATACCACCCTCAAATAACAATTGTCCTGTTAGTGGCACAAATGACAGTCACAACCAGGAGTCATATTCTTGAATTTATATCAAACATTTAAAACATGGGAGCACAATAAAAGATATAACGAAACAGATTTTCTTTCATTCCTTTTTTATGCAGAAAAAAAGAGAAGGAATAATCAATAGTCATCTTTACATCTTCCATCCCTAGAACCAAGAACCATCCTAGTAACATAAGATATAGACAAAAGGGATCATTTGGTAATTCAAGGATGTCCTACCACACCCACCTCCTCAGAAAAGTATAAAAGTTAAACCCACCCTTTATATTTCAGAAAATCATTGATTGCCCTCTTAAACTCCTATAAAGTGCTGACTTCTATTACTTCTGATGGCAACTAATTCCTTTTTAATCACTCTGGCACAAAAAAGAAAACTGTTTTAACTGTAGCCTAGTTTGTTTATCCAGATCTTAAATTTGTGCCCACTCACCCTATTGTCTTCTGAATACATTACATAGAAATTAGAGGTCTTCATCCTATCCATCTCTTGGATAATCTTGTAAATTTCACCTTTCTTTTCACAAGAGAATATCTTAACATATCTCTGTCAGATATCCCTTCCATCGATAATTATCCTAGACATCCTTCCTTGAATCTTTTCCAATAATTCAATACTCTTTCTTAGATAAGACCAAAACTTTACATATTATTCAAAGTGAGGCATAACTAGTGATCTGTATAGATATAATTTTTTGGACTTACAATCATGATGTCTGTAAGTATGCCCTAAAAGTCTATTAGCCTTACAACTAACAATAGAGCACTGCTTTGATGGCTTGTGTAACTTACCTACTGATATAACAAGAATTTTATCTTGTCTTGCTGTTGACTTGGTTCCCACTTATATTAAGTATGTTATTCACATTATCATAACCCAAATGCATTACCTTGCACTTAATATGATTAATTTGTCAAATACCACAAAATTTTAATTACCACAAAAACAAGCTATTTTACTCCCACTTGAACCCACACAAAGTATTTCTATATAAAAAAAAGTAATAATTTTTAACAGTTATTTCAAAATTACCACAGTTTATATTTTTGTGTATTAATTACAGTTTTTAAGACTAATTGTCAGTTTCATGAACAATGGCTTTTGATCTAATACTGACCTTTAAGGTCCAGGTACACATTACAACTAACACACATATCATATTGTGTGTGAACAAATTCATTTGTAATTTTCAAATAGGATTGGACAATTTACTCTGTTAGTGTAATGCAAGTGTATACACACACATACACATATATATATATATTTTGTTTTGAGTTATGGCAAAACTATTAAGGCTATCTGCCCCTGTCCCTAATTCTGAACTGTTGACCATAGGGGGCACAACTGGTCAGAAGCACCCACTACCAACCCTTGGGCTACTCCTTACCAACAAACAGTATTGGCTTTCACATTATAGCATCTTAGTAGCAGTGCCATAACCCAATCTTGTTCAGCTTCAGATACATACCAACCAAACTCATATGACGTAACAGTTAGTACTTCTTCTGTTAGCGCAACTGTGTGTGACAGCATTTACACAACTCATGAATGTGACAATGTTATCTGGTGGCTGTTGGTTACATAATTAGTCACAATGATGCCTTTTGTTTGTTTTTAGTTACCTTTAATTTGATATATTGCTTATTTATTATAAGGTACAAATATAAGCAGTGTTACATAGGGAAAGACCGTGTTAATAAGAAAACATTACATTAAGTTAATATATATTATTCATTCAAAAAAATTTTGGTTGCTTAAAAACTTGCCTGTTTAACTGTGTTTGTCAAAAATTACTTAACTTTAAATCAACATACACAAACAGGACTCATGTTTAAATGTATTAATCTTTCTAGTTCCTTCTAAATTTCAATCTGCATCAATAGCTTCTCACTTAAAAGCTTATGATGTTTCAATACTTATAAACTGTTAATTTTTTTAAAAGCTTTTCATGCTGATGATGAAATTAGAAAAACCGTTTAAATGTCAGTAAGTAAAGGTTTTTGATATTATCATGATTTTAATATCTATAAAGAGGTCATCTAATATCATCACAAGTTTTTTAACAAAGAAATAAACATAATATTGTTCTAGAATCGGAGTGAATTGGTTTTCATTCAATTACATATCCATTACAAACTAACAAAAATATTTTCTAGTTTTAGCATATGAAATCTAGGAATTATTATTTTTAATAAAGAATTGATTTACTTAGTTTTAGTTGTCTTGTAAAAATTATAGAGAAACCCACAGAACAGTATCAATTGTATTATCAGCTTGTTACAGGTTTTGTACTATGTTGTGTGTGTGTGTGTGTGTGTGTGTGTGTGTGTGTGTGTGTGT